GGGGTAATACGTGAGGGCACGAAGAAGGAGTCCTGCTAACGAAGCGTCTTGTAAACAGTTCTCCTGATGCTGACACTGTTTAGCATCACCACTAGGTAACATTATTCCAGTTCTCGAAATCAAATAACTAATGTTCTTCTACCTACCAGTTTCAAATAAGGCATTTCCATTGGGCTCAATCAATGTAACAGAAAAATTAACTGGAAGAGGTGGGAGAAAATGCCAGGGATTTCAAGAATGGGCCTGCTTCCTACCAGGTAACCTTGGAGAACAAAATTAATTTTGAATTATGAAAAGTTTTATGAGAAATCCCACCTTATAGCCTAGGAAATGTCTCCTTTTCCCATAGATAATGGGTTCCACGGTGAAAGTGAGCATGTACTTGGCATCTATAATGAATAAATAAAAATGTAGATTGAAGCTGACGGATCTGGGAATAAATGAGCTGCAGTAGGCTGGATCCCATGGGAGGTTAACAAATGAAATTCTACCAAGATGCATCAGAAACAGCAACAGGTCCAGACAAGGGGCTTGCTTCTTTGGTGTGTGAGGTATTTGCTGGCTGGCTCCAATGCCCTCTGACGCATCCTTCTACCAAGTGAGACCATGAGGGAAACACCGCAAAGGAGCGAGGAGGCTGAATCTCACAGGAAGGAATCTGCCTTCCAAAGAATTCAACTTACCAGAAATAGCCACTTGTGGGGTGTTGGAAACATGCCATTTAGCATTATTTTGAATTTATATAAATAACTAAACAAAACCAAAAAAGTCCTTCACAAAAGTGCTCAGTGCCGCACTCACTACTGTTTCTCATTTGTCTTAAGGCATCTGATCTTGATTAATTGGAAACATACTTCAATTTATGGCTAAAATGACTTAAATGTATGAATTTATAGAAGAAATATCAAAAATGCTTTATTAAGGTAGGTAGATATTAGGTATCAATTATAAATCTATGAATATTCTGAAAGGTCTTTAATTTTATGACAGCTTTATTGGGTTAATTGCTTACTTGGATATTATTTCCATGCTTTTGACAGTTATACGTTTTGGATATTTAAAACAATCAAATAATTCATATAAAAAACTTAACTATGAGAAATCATAGACGAGTTTTGTGTTTCTGAACTTCTTTAAACACATCCAAGTGGGAATAGTTCCATTATCAAAACATGATTAGCTACAAAGGTTGTTTTTTGATTCCAATCTTCTAACTCACTTGTGACTGCTCCCTTGTGCTGCTTCTCAGAACTCCTTTACTCCGACAAAAACACATAAGGAGGAAAAAGATTGAAGATCTGATTGAAGATCATGTTTATTATATGTAGAAATTCATTCTTGTCACACAAACTCTGCCCTGCACATGCTGAAGGTATTCACCAAAACATTCTAAATCTATACCACAAAATTGTCTGAATCAGAACCACCACTTAAAGTCACTATGACAAATTTAGTCAGTTACTTTCAATAATCGCCCCTGTAACAAAATACAGCTAAGACAACTCTGGCAACCCTGAAGAAAAAGAAAGTACTTCATTAAAATGCAGAAAAGTCATTGACATCACTATATTTCAAACAAACTTTGAAAGTAGGTCGTAGAGCAAACTCTATAAATTTTGCTATTGATCTAAATTTTAAGACTGTTACAACAGTTAAGATTTTTGTAACCATGTCTAAAGTACAAACATTTTTCTTTATTTAAAATACTTTGCTTGAAGGGAAGCAGAAATATATTAAAACATTTTCAAAGAAGATTCTAAAAATATTCTTTAATTTTGAAACTGTATTTTAAAACACATGTATGATACCAGGGCTGTACTTAGTTATAATTGGCATTTTAAATCAGTTTTTGTTAATACCAGTTTTACTAATTATGTGTAAAATTAAATTTTGGTACAAAGTTACATATGGAAAAGTATCCAAACTACATAAAATAAAAAAAAATTCTTCTGGTTTCTTGATTCATGTGACATAAATTTGCTTGTGGATGAAATGTTCATGTCTTTTAGCAACAGCAGGGAAAACTCAGTTTTCATTTAAAAATAAAATGGCCGTTCTAGATCAATAAAGAAAAGTAGATTACTGTATTAGGATGTTCATCAAGATTTAGTTTTCTATCTGGATGCCACACTAATTGGATGAAAGGCACATCAGAGCAGCACAGGGGAGCTAACTTTATAGATCCTATTAGCAAAAGTGTCCACATTTGATGCGTTAAAATAACCCACCTATAATAAGATGAGCTGCTAGTTACTCTATTTCTGACAGATCACTACTGGTGGGTTGAGATGCAGTAAACGTTACAAATGATTATTGTCTGCTTCTACGTCGTAACCTTGGTGTGTTCCTTATTTTCTGCTGAGCTTGTCAGCCCCTGTCATAAAATCAGAGCCCATAACCACTGGAAGGGAGAGAGACAGAGAGGAGACGAAGACTTTCCCAGGGTTCCACCACGTTGGTGGCCCAACTGCACATCTTCTGGGGAATGTAGTTCAGTAAGAAAAATTACTGAGGTAACATTAATGTTTGGAGGTAATAACAATATTAATGAGGTAATAATATTACTGTTTGGAGGTAACAATAATATTAATGAGGTAATAATAATATTAATGTTTGGACTGGCTTAAGATTTAGCTTGTCTGAGGAAGAAAGATTATAAAACTGCACATAAAAAGCTGTAGCCTCCCATGAAGAGATTTAGGAAACTTTCCTCCCTCCAAGTCTGACCAGCCGGCCATCAGACTGTGGCAAATCTATCTGCCACATGTGTACAGCTGGAACTCACCATCATCAAACTGTTTGAAGAAAATGAAATGCTTGTTCTTTTGTGGGGAGAGGAGGAAGATTGAGAGATAACATTTTGACTCAGATAAATGGTGATAACCTACTGCAAACAATGGAAGATAGCAGCCTGGCCTTTCCCCCACACAGGTCTTTGCACACTGCAGCGATCTCATCAAAGTCGGTCACCACGGGGCCCCAGTGGATGGGGCTGTGACCTTGTGTTCTCTCTCAAGAGCAAAGCGAAGTTATTTCTTAAAATAAGAAAACCAGTAAAACACATGCTTATTCATCTGAATATGAGCAAATAAAGATTCCTCTTTCAGATTATGAGTGAAGGCAGAAATAGTCAAATAATTCTAGGTGTCACCAAAAGAGGGCACCATCTACCCTGTCTGCACAAAGTTTCTGCGGTTGTAAAACCCAAAACCCAAAACCCCAAACCCCTCAACCCAGAGGGAAGGGCACCCACGGCCTCTGGCATTTTCCACTCTGTGCGGAGACCAGATCTGGGCGCACATTATGAAGAACATGGTCTGGCTATTTGCTTCTGCACCGACTTCTACACTGAGCACTCGTGCTCGCTGGAGCGTAACCGTCAGAAGCAGCACTCCACCTTCACTGAGACACTTTTCATAGACTCTCTGCGTTCCATATTTATAGGGCACTGAGAAAATTTCCCCTTAGGCCAGGGTCCAGGCTGTCATCAGACAGCATGAGAAAAAGACGCCAGTTAACTTCTTAGTGGTACCTTGACTCCAGGGGGTTATGTACAATGACAGGCAGGCAGGGAATGACAACCCCTGAGCACACGGAGGACCCAGTGACGCACGTGAGGCAGAGGGACCTGAGGTGAGGCAGCATTTTACGCCAAGTTTTAGGAACAGACGCCTAACGAACGTTCGTTCTTTCAAAGGGAGAAAAGAGTCCCGACATTACTCATAAATTTATCTTCTGTACTCGCAGCATGTATCACGACAAGCGTGTGATCCAAGCAGGTAAGCGTTTGGGGGACAGCCGTCTCCGTCGCTTCGGCCAGCTTCTTCAGGGACGGAAGAGGAGCTCTCGGCTCTGCAGTGGATTGGCACTCTGCTCCCAGAAACGCACACGCAACACAGGTTCCTGACACCGAGCTCGGCCGTTCGCCAGAGAGACGGGGCATCTCCGTGCGGCGCAGACGGCCGTGCGCGGGGCCCGGCGGCGCAGATCTCCGTCCGCGACGACGCGCCCGAGGACACCGCGTGGGGAGGCGGGGGGCCCTCGGGAGAGGAGGCAGCGGACCTGACGGTGGCGAGGAGGGGCCGCCTGCCGACCTAAACCTGGCGGCTGTCCCTCCGTGAATGCAGCGCGAAAGCAGGTGAAAACTCCCCTCGCTCACTCCGCGTCTGGAGAGAGAACCGCCGCGTGGACGGTTGCGCAAGACTCTGCGCGCTCTCCCCTCGGAAAACAGCCCGGCCCGCCGCTGCCAAGGACATCAGAGGAGCCGAGCCGGAGCGCGCGGGGTGGGCTCCCGGGGCGCCTCCTCTGACCCCGCCGTGTTCCCTGTGGTGGCGAGTGCCCCCGACCCTGCGCTGTGCCCGGGGAACCGAGCCCAGATCCTCCATCGGGGGAGGGACAGCGCCGCCCCGGTCCCCGAGAACCGGTCCTCCAGGGTCAGCGCCTCCACGAGACCTCCTGTTAGCCTCCGGCCTGCCGGCCAGCGGTGGGGCTTCGGAGACTGTGGGGGAACAGGGGCGACCCCCGATGGTGACGGGGCGCCCGAGCCCACTTCCCTCCCGGAGGAGGAGGCGGTTAAAGATTACACCGGCCGCGGTGCTTCAAAGGGCGCCCGGGCAGCAGAGTCAAGATAACGTCCTGGCAGCTCTCTGCGGCCGCGGTTGCCACATTTTAATCACTTCATTAAAAAAAAAAAAAAAAAGAAAGAAAGAAAGAAGAAAAGAAAAGAAAGAAAAAGGTGACATCGTGCGACCGTGCAAGGGTGCACTCGGTTCTCCTTCGGGAAGCTTCCAGGCCACCTCTCGCGGCGCCGATGCCCACCCCGCGTGCGGTGCCTGCACCGAGCCCTCGCCCTGCGCCCCGCCGAGAGCAGACTGCCGGGCGCGGGGTCCCCGAGACACGCAGCCCCCGGGCCAGGCACGTGTGGCCTCGATGTCCTGCAGAGTCGCCCGCCCTGCGAGGCGGCCTGGCCCGACCTCCCCCCGCGCGGCGCGGGCACTTACAGGTACGAGGTGAAGACGCTGAGGTTGGCGGGCAGCTCGGCGAGCCCCAGGTCCGCGCAGTCCACCCGGAGCAGCATCCTGCCGTCCGGCTCGCAGCGACAGCGCGCGGGGCAGCCCCGCAGCAGCGCGCCCGGCCCCGGCGAGCCGCCCCCGGCCGCCAGCTGGAGCAGGACGGGCAGGGACAGGAGCACGCCGACCGAGGGGGCGTCCATGCCGCCAGGCCGTGCGCGCCCCACGGGCTCCTGCGGTTCCTGCGCGGACGGGGGCTCCTACGGCTCCGGAGGCCCGAGTGGTGCGCGGGGTACGCCTGCAGGACTCCGAAGACGAGCACCGCGTGGCCGGCCAGCGAGCGGGGCAGCGCGCGGCTGCAGGGCCTGGCCAGAGTGCGCGGCATCTCCGCCCGCACGCCCCGGCTTTAAGGCGCTGCAGCCCGAATTGCGCGCCCGGTGACGTCAGCGCAGCCCGGCTCCCCAGGCCCCCTCCCCCTCCGCCCCTCCTGCCACCCTCTCCGTCCCTCCTTCCCTCCTCCCCCCACTTTCCCTCCCGCCTCCTTCCGCCCCCTCCTCCTTCCTTCCCGAGTCAGGGGTGGGGGGCCCTCGAGCTCCAGCGTTCAGGCTTTGCCAGGGGTGGAGGGTGGGGGAGGGGGTCCGGCGCTCAGCACCGCAGACGGCGGGGTACCCCACCCCCACTCCCTCCCGCGGTCTGGAGACCCGACCTGGGAGCCGAGGGGGACACAGGCAGATGCGCAGAGACCCGAGGATGCGGACGCTTCCTCCAAGCCCACTTCAGTGATGGATGGAATGCACAGAGCTTAAAAAAGACTAAAATCCAGTCCAGAAAAATAGCGAGGTTATCAGGTGAGGAGGCCGGCGTCCTCGGGGACGTGGGTCCTTTTTCCCTCGCGCCGCACTGCCTGGCTCGCTTCTGCCCTAAAATCGAAGTTCTGGGTCAATTGCTAAGTACACACAGCTGGTGAGCCAGCGCAGACGCTGCCTTCCTAACTCATCGCGGTGAGAAGTCCAAGTGACCGTTTTTCAAAGTGTTCGGATCCCCTGGAGGTCGGACGGACAGACAGAGGGCCTTTTGCTCTTGTTCGGGGGCCTCTTCGCTGAGTGTCCCAGGTTCTCTGCCTGAGCGCGGTCCACCCGGACCAGAGGCACCGCGCTAGAGAGCCACAGCCGAGCGCAGCGCAGACGCGTGTCCACACTTTGGAAAGTGTCCCCCAGGGACCTGCAGGAGGAAGAGGACAGGCCTCGGGGAGGAAAGGCAGCCGCTGCCGCCAGAGTGAGGCCGGAAGAGGTGACAGCCACGTGCGCCACATCCACTCACAAAGCTGCACGGTCCCCCGGCGCGGGGCCTCGGCTTTGTGAAGGCCGAGAAGGTTTTGGCTTTCAAGGCCTCTCCTGAGCTTCCCCTTCCCTGTCCCGCTGAGTTTCCCATGCAGACTTCTGACTGCTACAGCTGGGAAGACGTTTTTTCTTTGTGAAGTGGTTTTCCTTCAAGGAGTGATCCCCACACCTGGCTGATCACCTGTGGAACTTTCAAAAATGTACAGATTCCTGGACCTAAATCAGTATTCTGAATATGCTCTTTTCTTGGGCAAATCCCATCATTAGCAACTTTGTGATTCTCTGGATTAGATGGAGGGAGAGTGGCTGAGATTTATAGACTCCATCCTCCTCATTTTGCAAATAGAGGACCTTGGCCCAGAGATTTTGGAAAATTTGACAGTGGCTGCTGAAAACTGCAAGTGAGCCCAGGTTTCTGGACGTCAGTCAGTGCCCAGTGCCGGCTGTTCCTTTTGTTGTCCCTGTGCACACCACAGCCACCACCGTCTCGTGGCCTATTCTCACGTTATTCTTGCTTCTCCCAGCCAGTCCTTCCACATCTGTAGAATGCCCACTAATTACCTGCTTTCTTTCCTTTTTTTAAACCTATCCCCAGATACTTATTTTGTAAGTGCAGCTCAAGACTTACTCTTTCTGTGAAGCTCCCATCACCATAGTCTGCATTAAATATTTGTAGAACTGCAATCGTGATGCAGCTGTGACCAGAGAGGCCGGTCGACTCTCCGCGTGGAGCTTGTGGTCTGAAAGGAACAATAGACTGAGCAGGATCCCAGGAATCTCACTGAGGGTGTGTTATAAAAACCACACAGTTTAGCCCTACGGTTCTCTTGAACTCGTGTTTGTCTTGTTTTGCCAACTTTGTCGTTATGACTTTGGAGGCAGCGACCAGGCCACTTGTCTCATCCTCACCTGTAGGACTCATACTATGGACTCGCGGTAGTGGGAACTTAACAAGGATTTATGGACTGGTTGATCTGTCAACACAGGCATCCGAATACAGTTGTGTCCACCATCTGCGCAAGGACTTCTGGCAGCACTTTGTTTGATGTCAGGGTTGCTAAGAAGAACACGGCACTTTGGTTGTGGATGGAATCAGGCGGCACTGGATTTGAATCCAGGTTCTGCCGGTTTCAGGCTGTTTGATCAGAGGCACAGAAGGAGCCCAGGTCTCAGTGCCCTTCTCTGTGAAGGGGGATGTTGTTCACTGAGGTCGTTCTAAATGTTAGCACGTCTGGAACTTGACCTGGAGCAGAGTAGATTTTCAACCTGTGCTAGTGCCTTTCCTCATCTTTTCAGGAATTGAGGCTTGTTAACAAATTCATGTAGAGCAGAGGGATTTCTGATTCAATTAAATGAGGGAAGACTGCCCTGCTGGATGAAACCAGGTGTGATGAACATCTGATACTTTTTTTGCATGCCCAACATTTCTCCTGTCTCCTCTCTCCACACTTTTCCTTTGAGAAACTACCTCTCACACCTTAGGTGACCCCAGCAGGGCTGTCACCATGCACCCCGTCTCCCTGTGCCTGGGATGGTTGTGTGACCAGACCAGTCTGAGTTTGTCTGGGGGACTGTCATGAACCCTGGGGGAGGAGGGCTTCTCCTCTGGCTTCATAAGCTCTAAGGACAAGGAAATTTGGAGCTCAGGGAGCTGCCCTTCTGCCTTGTGGAGAAAACTCACCGGACACTGAACATTAGCATTAGCAAGGAGAGAAGAAAATCATAAGGTCATCTTTTAAACACCCGTATCTAAAGCCTCTGCTACTCCATCACCTCCCATCACCAAAACACAACCAGGCAGTTTTATTTTGTTTTGTTGCTCGAGGTAGAGGGTGAGGGTTTAGCTGTGATCACTCACATTCAAGAATGCTGGGTAAAAACCCAAAAGCACAGGAAGCATGAACATTTAAGAGTGACCTGATGGACCCTCAAGGTCTCGTAGACCTTAGAACAGAGGAAATCGTGTGGGTTGTGAATAAGAATGGTTTGGCCAGTGGTGGTTTTATTGCCTGAATGCATGTACGTTAATCACTTTATCTTAGCTAACAAAGGTGAAAACACAGCAAACCAGATTCCTTGCACACTAAAAAAACGTTGTAGTGAGGCCACTGAGCAGTGGTCTCTGTTTTGTGGCAAATACCATCAAATTTGTAAGATCAGGTTCTCAAATTGCATGATAATGACCCAGCACTGACTCAGCCCCTTGCTCGTCCTCTGCTCCCGCTGCGTCCTCATAACAACCCTGTGAGGTGGGTGTAATCTCACCCAAGCCTGAGGATGGGAAATTCTGGTGCTTTCCTCGATGGTGACCAGCAAGTCAGCAATGGAACCAAAATTCTAACCTGAGTGAGTCCCGTGCCCTTTTCCAAATCCCTTGGGAATTCTAGCCACATATAGACTTAAACTGGATAGGATCTTGGGTTTACTGTCATTTTATTGAGAAAGAAATTCACATATTTTTGTAAAGAAAAGTGTAGCCTTTTTGAACTGCGGTGGAACCAGTCGGAGCAGAGAACGGTGGTTTTTTATGTGAACAGTAGGGACAAGTATATATTCAATCTTTTTTCCCTTAAATACATATATTTCTAGTTTCTCTCGCCAACCAGTTACAGGAATACATATTGGTGTTCTGTCAGAAAAAAGCAACAACACTCTTAGGTGTGATAGGTTAGCAGGCTAAACTAGAGTCACTTAGTGTTTTGCCTGGGTGGGATGTTCTTCGTTACGATTTTGGAAGGCATCTCGGTGTTAATGAGCTGGTGTGCCAGGGAATATGTCATGCCAGGAATGAAGTCACTTTTTACTTCCTAGGCACTTAGACTGCAAGTTTCTGAAATCAATTCTGGTAAAGTACAGTCTGGTACGTGACTACTTTCTGGGCTTGCTAAATGGATAATTTCCTAATTCTTTAATCTTTGATAAAAGTCCACAACTAAAAACATTCATGGTCTCCACAAGAATTGCTAATAAGCTTCGTTGAAGCATGCCAGGATAATTCTAGTTAACAGGTAGGTCAATATTTCTTTTAGGAGTATAGTGAAATTGTGTTTACACAACTGGTGGGCTATTACTGACAGATTTGACTTGTTTGAAAGAGTGGAGAGCCATTATTCTCCCTGCTCATTTTACATTCATGATATAATCAGGCTTATGCTGAATTTCTTAACTTCCTTTCACCGACAAAGTCTAATTAATTGAGAAGGAGGAGGATTTACGAATAAAGATCTATTTTCTTTCAGAATTATTTACTTTGCAAGAAAGCTTTAGTTCAGCTAATTCATTACTTTGAAATAGCCTATTATATAAAATCAACTAGATCTGTCTTTGATATTATCCAACATAAAGGAAACCTTTAAACATGCCCACGTGTTCACAGCATGCTGCAAGAAAGGGCAGTGGAACGTGATATTATCAGTTCAGCTCTTCTATCCTCTTGCTCATCTCATGTGTGATAATGAAGGTGGTTCTGCATATGCAGCCTGCCTTCTGAGAACATGTGTCCGCTCAGACTCACATGTCAGCCAGGGGTAGGTTTGCTTTTCAAACTAAGAATCAAATTAAAGAGAAAAAATAATAAAGTACTTGAAATTAAATGATCTTACTGCTTGTTCACATGCTTTATTTAATTCTACTAAATACTGCCTTAGTACCCAGACAGAATCTTCCATGTGCCCAGTGTGACGGACCTTTTCCTGGTCTGTTTAGAAGGACACTTCTAGGATCGTTAACCATCTACCATGTCCACATGTTTGTGTTTAAGTGGCAGGGCTCAGACAGAGCAGAGGCCTCGCTCCACGACGATGAGGTGTTAACAGGCTCCTGTTCCCCGAGCTGCTCCTCCAAAGCCTGTTGCTAGAGCATAC